GTACATAAGGTGAGAACCTGTGTATTAAGGCTCTAGGGCTTTCTTCGCCAACCCTGTCTTTCTCATCCCAACTCACAGAGGCTTAGCCGTGTCCATTACTTGAGCCAATCCTGACCAGGTGTCAGCAGCCTCAGGCCACCAGGTGACGTGTTCTAGCATTTGCTGTCATGGATCCGGTGTCTGATATGAGCTATAGGCAACCACATGCCCATCAAGTCCTTGCCTTCTTTGACTGTAGCGGTCACTTCATATGATTGGATTTCTGTTTGGAGCTGTGGCCTGAATACCTGATCATCTATCTAGGACCCCAATGACCCCCATCTAGCTCCCACCAGCTCATACCCTGAGGGGGTGGCTGGGTTTTGCTTTCTGAAGATTCGGGCACTGGTTGGGAACATGAAGGTATCACTTGGTGGTAATATTGCTACAACTGCCTGCCTGACTTCAGGCATGTCCTGTAGGGTCCAATGCTAAAACTCCAATGCCTTCCATCCTACCTGGAATGGGGTAGACAGTCAATGAATAAGTGAATGAATAAACAGAAACACTTCCTGACTTCCTATATCCACTCACTGGGGAGGGCCTTTTAGATAGGACATCTGTCTGGATATAACCTGAATGACATCATCTTTTTGGACTATGAGTCTTGGGCTCTCTACCATTTGCAGCTAATTCAGTCTTCCTGCTTCCAGATTCACGGACAAGCATGTGCCTTACAAGGGTCTCCCATTCACTTGCCCCTTTATCCAAGTCGGCTACCCTACCACCACTACTTGACAGTGAGTAGAAAGACAGCCCCTTCCACTTTTGGGGACTGTGAAAGCCATTTCAGAAACCAACAAGTGTGCCCTCACTAAATGGACTCTAAAAATGCTTTTTGAGGAGCAACAAGGAGAAATCTCTGGCCCATGCTCAGGATTTTGAAGGCAGAATTAGATTTGGCAGTAGGAAAAATTCAATGCCATTTAACAGAGATTTATTTAATTTTAAAGTACTTTTATATGCCTAGAACAACAGGAATGAAAAAGGGGAGTCAGGCATGTACTCTGCTCTCTAGAGAATGACAATCCAGTGCCTGAGGAAGACCCAGTGATAATTGAGGTAGGCACAGTAATTCCAGCATCGGGCAGATTTAGCAAATGCTATAGCAGGGCAAGGGTGGAACCCCTGGGGAGGGCTCAGCAGTTATCATATATTTCTGGGAGACCGAGGGAGGGAGAAGTCCTAGAGTACTATAGCTTGTCCTTGGTGTCTTCCCGTTTCCTTTTCGGGATCCTCTATTCTAAATGAAATGAAATGAATTGAATTAAATTCAAAATTTTGGTTAGTTAATATATTCCAGTGATCAAAAACCAAAAAGGTTTCATGAGACACACACTTCAAAGTCTTACTCTTACCATGATCCCTTTCGGCACATCCCCCCACTCCTATTCCCTGTAGGTAAGCTTTTGTACTGGTTTCTAGTGAATTCTTCCAGGGCTACTTTATGTAAACAAAACAGGTAAGAATGCACATTCACATTCCATCCGTTTTCTCACACAAAAGTTTACGTTATGTCTGGTTTCCATCTTGTTTTTTTTCTTTACGATCTATCCCAGAGATGATTCTATATCAATAAATAAGGAACTTCTTCTTCTTTTTTTAAATAAATGCATAGAAAGCCTTGCTGTTTAATGAACCAACTCCTTTGGGGTGTTTCCAACTGTTCGCCTTCAAAAATATTGTTGCACCATTTATGTACATCATTTCATTTGTGTGCAGGTATATCCGTAGGGTAAATACCCAGAAGCAGGACTGCTCAGTGATCCGCTCTTCTCTTTTTCTTTTTCGTTCAAGCTCATCACTATTCCCAGTCTCAGAGATACTTGCTTTGTCATAGAGACTCTCAAGGACCAAAGCACTAGATCTCTTCTGGTTGAATTCCAGTCCTATGAGGAGATAGAAGGTGAGATCTTAAGACACTTGCTACATTTTAAGACCTAAGAAGCCACTTAGTTCTATATGACCCACTTATTGGATTGACTCTATCATCAAATCCTGATTTCCAATTCCATTAATATTTGTTTTGGCCTAGTCAGTGCCTTATTCTGCCCTCATTCACCTGTGCAGCCAACAAATGTTTATTGGGCACTTACTAGACCTTAAGCTCTGATAGACACTGGAGTTAGAATTGGTCCCTGATCTCTAGCTCACAATCTAGACAGAGATGTAACTATCTAAGTACGCATTCAGTACGGCAGATACTGCTATAAACCTACATGTAGGTTGAACTTTGCCTCCAGCCTCCCCACCTTCTCTGTCTATGTTCTTGGCAACCTATCAGGATCCCTCACTGCCACTTGCCATGTGCTTCTCATAAGGCATGGAAATTTGGGTCAGAAAACTTGAATTTGGGTTTCATCTATGTTACAATGTATGTGAGTATCAAATGATAGAAAAGCTTGAAATGCTTTGCAACCTATTGTTTACATTTTTCTCTCCTAGAAGACAGCACTGTGGATAAGAACAGTTAAGGGTTGTGGGAATAATTTTAGTACTTGTCTCTGGACCGTCAGAACCTCTCAAGTCCCTCTCCTTTTCTGGGTAGATTTGTCCAGGTGACAGGCAGTCAAAGGAAGACATTAAAGTTTTCTTGTAACAGCTGTCAGTGCAATTTCTCATGTGGCCTTGGCACCGACTTTGGCCCACCTGTACTTGTCGCTGTCAGTGTCACTTCATCACCACTGAGCCATGGAGCAGACCATCCTGCTCTGACCAAGGAGGGGGAGGGCTTTTTGAGATGATGTCCCTGGGAACATACCAGAAACTATGAGAGTTGTACCCAAAGTATTCCTGCATATGGATGGCACGTCAGTGTCAACACAGGGTCAGAATCGTGCATCTGTATCAGCCAACGTGTGGTCAGGAAAAGAAAACCCAGGCCAGGGGGTCCCTCAGAAGAGTTATAATATGGGGAGCGCATCTCAAAGGCACTGGAGGAGCTGAAAAGTGAACCTGGGGATAGAGAGACAACTCAGAACTCAGCAACATTCACAGCGGGCCGCCAGCCCTCGGGTGGGAGGAAACAAGAGAGCAGGAGGTATTATCAGCGCCCAAGAGACGGACCTGATGGTCTGTCTTGGATCACAGAGCAGCCTCAGCTCACTGATGGGAATTAGAGAAATTCTGTCTTCTTCCTCCCCCCTCTCCTCCCCCTGCTAGTCCCTTCTGCGAGCTGAACCTAGTGAGAAGACTATTGGCAAGGAAGCCTGGGAAATAGATTTTGCTGGACAAAGTCAGGGAATGAATCCAAGAGCAAACAGGCAAATGACCAGCACAGACTCTGCTCTCTTAGAAAGTGTTCCCTTTAAGTGGGGAAGGTTGCTTCCAACTTTCCTTTGGTTCCTGAAGCCATCCATATTCTTTTGTCCTGAGGCCTATCGGGTTTTACGTTCTTTGTTATTCTTTCTTCCAGCAGGCCCACCAAGCCCAGACCAGAGAGAGCTTCCGGGAGTCCCAGCTGGGACCATCAATCCACATTACCCTGCCTGTTCTCTTTGATTCCTACAGTTGTCTAGCTAGCCCTTTCATCAGTGGCTTGGTTGGATGCACAGGTAGGAAAGGGGAGGTCCGGGATCAACACGTCACCTCCTAGAATCATCGAGAAGCCAGAGAATTCTGAGAAGGAGCAAGATGATTGCTGAGGTTTCACCGTGGTTATTACTCACCACAACTCCAGTGGTTACAGGGAAAAATTCTCTAAATTGCTTTACTGTCAGCCACAGTCTTCTAGTCTTGATTAGAATGACAGTATTTTAGAGCTAGAAAAGTTGTTAGAAATAACCAGTCTCAACATTTTCTTCTTCATTGTATAAACAGTGGAAATGAGGTCCGGCGAGGTTAAGTGACACTATCCAGGTCACATAACAACTTAGTGGTGTGAGCTGATTTTAAAACATCCCTTTTCCATCTCCCCATGTCAATTTCACTTAAGTTCTGCACCGATTCACCATCTTTTTAAAAAATTAATTAATTAATTTTTGGCTGTTTTGGGTCTTCGTTTCTGTGCGCGGGCTTAGCTGCTCCACGGCATGCGGGATCTTCCCAGACCAGGGCTCGAACCCGTGTCCCCTGCATTGGCAGGCAGGTTCTTACCCACTGCGCCACCAGGGAAGCCCATCGATTCATCATCTTAATATATTCTTCCAAAAAGATTTAAGCACTTCCACTCCTACTACTTCAGAATTTCTCAGTGTAGAGATCAGTTTCGGTGGTCGCAGATCACTTTCAGCAGATTTTTATTTTCCCCTGCTGCCTCCATCTCACTTGATGCAAATGATTCTGAGCTGAGGAGTATCTCAAATGAGCTCAGGTTTGAATTGGCCGGTGGCTTATGTTATCAGAGGGAGGGCTTGTGTGGCTTTCCCTTCTCCAACGTTGTTTGTGGTTCGAGCATGCGAGGGCTCTTTCTGTGAAAAGTTCTGCGGTTTTATTGCCAGTAAAGTAAAATGGAAAACCAATACTATCGTTTTCACTGTAGGTTTTATTTCCCTGGTGCTACATGAAGAAATTGGTTCAGTGAAGAAGCCAGCTGTGAGCGTGGAAATCTGCAGAGCACAGGTCCATGGGAGCCCCGGAGAGGGTGTGGAGTCATGGGGGAGGAAGGTCTGATCTTTGATGGGACGGCTGATCCCACAAGCCTTCTCCCCAGCTTCAGTCAGTGGCTTGAAGCGGCAGTTTAGTTTTTATCTGAGTGGGGAAGGAGAAAAAGACAAAGAAGCCAAGAGAAAAAGATAAACTAAAGAAGGGGGGTGGGCACAACAGAAACAGAGCACAAAGGAAAAATAGAAGGAAATGCTCCCACTGGAGCAAAGAGCCATGGGAGAAAAAGAATCAAAGAAGGGGGCCACATGTCACCCAAAAGTACATTGAATGGAAATGTGACTTTTTTTTTTTGGTCTGCAGCACTAAGCTGAATTAGCTATTTTTATCAGTGTGAGGTAATCAGACTCAGGCCATGTTTCTTTGACTGCAGAGAAATCAGAGCGATCCAAAGACTAGGTCAGTCCGGTTTGCAGCTGCAGGGACTAACGCGCTGAGATCTTACATGGGTTGGAGGTAAGAATGGGGTCGGGGGAGGAAGGGGGAGCACTGTCTTAATCCACTGGGGATGGGGGCTCGCACATACCAGGTCCTCCGTGTGCACTGCTTGAATGTTCATTCCTCCTTTGGCTACTTGTTCTGATGCAGTCACGGTGATGCCAACTTAGCACAGAGATTAATTTGTACGTTTTTTTTCAATTGTTGTGAGTCAATATTTGGCTAGAAATTGGGCATCCTGAAGTTTGGAAGGTAGAGGAGTGAGTGGGAGGGGAAACCTCCTGGGTTAACACAGAGGTAGGAAGGTGTTTGTTCTTCTGGGCGGTAGTGAAGGAGAAGGAATCTTCTAGAGTGGGCAGGTGCTAGAGGGCTGTATAAAGTGGAAAACAACTGCGCTTTAATCAGCTGGAAGGAGAGAAGGATAACTGTTTTGAGACCCTCAAAGTACTTTGCAATTACACTGGTTGGTGAGGCCATCAGTCACGATGCTCCAGCTGGACTGTTTCCCGGAACTTAGAATCGTTCGCAGATGAAAAAAGCAGTTGGTAGGATCGTCTCTGGAGAATATTCCTACCTATCATCATTAAAGGAGAAATAATGAGAGAGCAGGAGATTAACTAGTTAGTTGGGGAATCAAGGAGAAGGTGGGAATTGACACCTCGGGGCCTAATCTTGAAAATTGCTCTGGCACAGACGGCAGCTTGCTGAACAGAAGAGGAATGGGATGTGGAATGCCAAAAATCAGAAGAGAAAAAAGAAAAAAAAGATCAAAAATGCTAATCAAAATATAATATATAGACCTAGAGATTTTCATACTAAGTGAAGAAAGCCAGACAGAGACAGATAGCGCATGATATCGCTTATGTGTGGAATCTAAAAGAAAAAAAAAACAAATGAATTTATTTACAGAATAGAAAGAGACTCACAGACATAGAAAACAAACTTATGGCTACCAGAGGGGAAAGGAGGGGGGGAGGGATAAATTAGGAGGTTGGGATGAACATAAACACGCTATTATATATAAAATAGATAAACAACAAGGACCTACTGTATGGCACAGGGAGCTATACTCAAGATCTTGTAATAACCTATAATGGAAAAGAATCTGAAAAAGAATATAAATATCATTAAAAAGTTATATATATATATATTTATATGTGTATATAACAGAATCACTTTGCTGTACACTTGAAATGAACACGACATTGTAAGTCAATTATACTTCAATAAAAAATTTAAAAGATATGTAATAAATATAAAGTGCTAAACTATTTTAAATAAAAATAACAGCTTTGGTATGACATCTTTATTCAGTCATAGATGACATTTATTAAAAATGCGCCCATTCTTCAAGCTGTTTCAGCACAGGAGCCAGAGAGAGAAACCCAAGAGTTAAACTGGTGATGGTTGCAGCTAGATTCCTCATTTCTCCATGCTGTGTGGGATGCCAGTCCTGATGACAGCGACAATAGCTAAACACGGCTCTGAATTATAATTGTCATAAGGCTCTTTCCCGAGTTCATCTACCTTACTTAACATTTTAAGTCTCTCCTGCTTAATGAAATGTCATCTTTTCAAAGCCGGTGACCAGATAATTGTTTAAAGTGAATCAGAATGTGAAAGGTGAAGGTTTTCATAACTCGAAGCTTAATTCATTGTGATACTGAGAATCATGCCTCACACTAACTTAAAGGATGTCATATTTCAGGACGTGTGACCTTTCACCACCCCACGCTTCACCAATTACAGCATTTCCCTTTCTCCAGAGTAGCTGGGGAGAGTGGTTTCAATTTCCAATATTCTGATTAACTGGGTATTGACATATAATCCAATTATCAGAGAATGAAAATTCGTCTTCTCTGAATGATGGCTTTACCTTTGTAACCTTGCTGTTTTTTCTACTCCCTCTTTAGGTTAATCTTCTTGAAGACCAACTCATTTCTCCCCAGCTCAAAACGTTCAGTAACTGAACTTCCCTGGTGGTCCAGTGGTTAAGACCCTGTACTTGTCCTGCAGGGGTCATGGGTTCAATCCCTGGTCGGGGAACTAAGATCCCACAAGCTTCGCGGCCAAAGGAAAAAACCCTCCAATAACCTCCTGTAACCCATGGGATGAAACTTCCATTCAAAGTTGTTCATGATCGTTCCCAGTGTATCCTATTTTTACCCCAATTTCTGTACCCTTTGTGCCTCTCACACTCTTCATAAACACCCTGACCTTTCTCCATGCTTGGTGTTCCCTCCACAGAAGGTTGTTTCTGCATGTTCAAATCCTACCTATTCTTGAAGACTCGGGTCAGTTCCCTCCTCTTTGGAAAGTCTTCCTCAATCTCTCCCTCCCCCCACCTCCTGGTTTTACTAATATCTTCTCCTTCTGAAATCTCATATTCTTTCTTTTTAATTCTCTGTAACATTTTCTTTTAAAAAACTTATTGAAATATAGTTGATTTCCAATGTTGTGTTAATTTCTGGTGTACAGCAAAGTGATTCAGTTGTATATATATATATGTATATGTACACATATATATTCTTTTTTCATATTCTTTTTCATTATAAGTTATCACAAGATATTGAATATAGTTCCCTATGCTATATAGTAGGACCTTGTTGTTTATCTATTTTATATATAATAGTGTGTATCTGCTAATTCCAAATTCCTAATTTATCCCCCTACCCCTTTGGTAACCATAAGGTTGTTTTCTAGGTCTGTGAGTCTGTTTCTGTTTTGTAAATAGGTTCATTTTTGTCATATTTTAGATTTCACATATAAGGGATGTCTTATATTTGTCTCTCTTTGTCTGACTTACTTCACTTAGTATGTTAATCTCTAGGTCCATCTATGTTGCTGCAAATGGCAGTATTTCATTCTTTTTTGTGACCGAGTAATATTCCATTGTATATATGTACCACATCTTTATCTACTCATCTGTTGATGGACATTGAGGTAGCTTCCATGTCTTGGCAATTGTAAATAGTGCTACTATGAATATTGGGGTGCATGCATCTTTTCAAATTAGAGTTTTCTCTGGATGTATAGCCAGAAGTGGGATTGCTGGATCATATGGCAACTCTAATTTTAGTTTTTTAAGGAGCCTCCATACTGTTCTCCATAGTGACTGCACCAACTTACATTCCCACCAGCAGTGTAGGAGGGTTCCCTTTTCTCTACACCCTCTCCAGCTTTTGTTGTTTATAGATTTTTTTGATAATGGCCATTCTGACTGGTATGAGATGATACCTAATTGTAATTTTGATTTGCTTTTCTCTAATAATTAGTGATATTGAGCATCTATCATGTGTCTATTGGCCATTTGTATGTCTTCTTTGGAGAAATGTCTTTTCAGGTGTTCTGCCCATGAAATCTCATATTCATCTCTGCCTCTTTTGGGAAATGACTTTCCCCTTTAAGCCATTATCATTTACAACTACTTTATCTTACCAAGTAGTCACAGTTTTCCTGAATGTATAATTTGTGACAGATACATCTCTGTCAGTGCCACCACGTGTCTTGCACACAGTAGGTGTTCATTAAATAAATGAACCAACAGAACCATAATTTCATCACTAGGATGGGTCAGACGGTGGTTTTCTCTTTCTTAGATGATTCATAGAATACTTCAGGATCTCGCAGTGCTTGTGATTTATTATGATTAATGTCACATCATTAGAGGGGCTGCAAATAAGTCTGGGTATTTGAATTTTCTGGTTTGGGTTTCTGAACAAAACTGAAATTGAGTACGTTTAGCAGCCAGGGGACTGACAGAACCTAAAGGAAAAATGCAAGCGTTCATTGACTTCACGTAAAACACGGTAAAGGGTTCAGGGAATTAGGAGAAAATTAAATCTGTCTAGATGTGGAGTGATTCTGTCTGAGAGAATCTAATTAGTCATGTCAGAGTGTGATCAGAACCTCAGTGTTAATACTACCAGCATCCCCACTCTCTGAGGAAAAGGACTTCAGGAGATGTAGCCATCCCAAGGGACAGGACCAGGCACTAGGCAGGAGGTAGACAGCTTCCTTCTTCATCACCAGAGCCACAAATCGGATTGAAAATTCACTGTGATCTCCTGCCCCAAGGGCTGCAGGACATGGCATTTATTTCAAGGCTGGCACAGTCACTGCCCCTGATACCATGCCTGCGGGCCGACAGGAGTTCGTGCAGAGTCATGCATATCCAGATAAAAATAGGAAAGAGGCCAGTGACCAAGAGTGGGTGAGAGGGCAGTGTCCGTGATGCCAGGCGTCACTGGGAGCAGGCTCAGGTCAAGTGATCTGAGGAAGAAAGAAACGGGGACGTAGGAGCTCATGGTAGGATACGGTCAGGGTAGCAGTGTGTCGGCTGCCAAATAAGCTAACGTAGATATCAGGAAAAAATAGAAGACCAGTCCAGGCTAAGAATCAGCCTCTTTGAAATCTGAAGAAGTTGAAGGGACAAAACAAGATGGATTGCCAATATGGAGCTATCTGGAGCATTTTGCAGCTTTCTCTCCAGAAAACAGCTGCAGGGTCCCAGCATCCAGCAAAGAAATGAGATGCCAGGGGAATTTGCTATTCCAGTCCCAGCTGCATTGATGTGCCCTCTCACTCTAGTGAAACCCACTGTGATGTCTCCTGTCTCGAGGGTTGGCAGACAATGCTCACTGAAGGCTGGTGGCAGGAAATGTGGCAGTGATCATCGGAGGCGATTATCCAGGCAGAATAATTTTCTCAACACACGGGCAAATAGCTGTTTGGAAATGGACCCTCCCTGGAGCATTACGCTGATCAGGACATCTACTAGGGATTCTCTTTCCTAGACTTTTATCTGATTTCTCCTCGAGGTTATGGGAACCCAGAGTCCACTAAAATCCTCTCCAAGAGCTCCCTGTCTTGGTCTTTGACACTGACTGATGCTTAACTGTGGATCTCCCCACAGCTGGCTGTATTGTCCTCGTAACAGCTGGCGGCTGTGGGAGCCAGGTTCACATGCCCTCTTAGAGCAAGCCAAGCCCATCCTAGAGTAACTTCCAGGTGGACAG